ATTCCGGTGTGATATATCTGAAAGTCAGATGTATGTCTAATTAAAAAGATACCATTTGTTTGTGTGGCTTTTGTGCCAAAAACTTAATTTGGGAAGATTATTGTATGGTGCCAAAATGTATTTAGGCACCAAAAAGAAAGGGTCGGTTACATAATTTAGCCGATGCATAACAAGTTCACAGTGACCTACATACACCTATGTGCTACTTTTTCTGCGATTTTTATCATTCGCAACTTTAGTGTCAAACAACACATCAAACTCATGAGGAACGTTTCGTAGAATAATTTATAATTTTGTCGAAAAGAGTCCATTTATGATTTGGCCTACCCCAGTTTACCCCCTCATATCTCAGAAAAAAACACAACGTATCGGTGATAGCCACCGGAAGGCACCTAATGCCACCAATCCTTTTCAGTTTATAAAAGAAATATGAGAATCGTTATATTGGTATTAACAAATATATCGTGTTTACTGTAGGTCATTGAGTCTGATAGCGAGCGTGGTGAGAGATATATCAAAGTCTTCCTAGAGCTACACCTATTTTTGATTTTATTTAACTTCCATAAATCACACAAAATAAAACTGTCAAAACAGAAGGTCGATTATAAACTGATGTTTGTGTAGTACTTCACTGAAAATGAGGATAGCCCAAGTGGAATCCCTGTCAGTAAAGATAACGCTTGCACTGATTTGGTCGGATGTCAAACATGAAATCAAGCAGTATAGTGGGCCTTCAAATTGTTCTCAGTTATATACTATATACGTGCAATTACATGCTGACAGATATTTTAAGTTCAACAATACCTGCTATTAATTAAGAGGACACTGACATACAAAACTATTCCGGTTTNTGCTCTATAGATGAATCTGAATTTGCTCATTGCACTTTGAGACAAAATTCAAGTATTTTTTTACAGCTAGTTAGCAATATACAAAGTATTCAGATATATTTGTTTTTATTCCGGTGTCAGATGCATGTCTAATTAAAAAGATACCATTTGTTTGTGTGGCTTTTGTGCCAAAAACTTAATTTGGGAAGATTATTGTATGGTGCCAAAATGTATTTAGGCACCAAAAAGAAAGGGTCGGTTACATAATTAAGCCGATGCATAACAAGGTCACAGTGACCTACCTACACCTATGTGCTACTTTTTCTGCGATTTTTATCATTCGCAACTTTAGTGTCAAACAACACATCAAACTCATGAGGAACGTTTCGTAGAATAATTTAGAATTTTGTCGAAAAGGGTACATTTATGATTTGGCCTACCCCAGTTTACCCCCTCATATCTCAGAAAAAAACCCACAACGTATCGGTGATAGCCACCAGAAGGCACACATTGCCACCAATCCTTTTCAGTTTATAAAAGAAATATGAGAATCGTTATATTGGCATTAACAAATATATCGTGTTTACTGTAGGTCATTGAGTCTGATAGCGAGCGTGGTGAGAGATATATCAAAGTCTTCCTAGAGCTACACCTATTTTTGATTTTATTTAACTTCCATAAATCACACAAAATAAAACTGTCAAAACAGAAGGTCGATTATCAACTGATGTTTGTGTAGTTCTTCACTGAAGATGAGGATAGCCCAAGTGGAATCCCTGTCAGTAAAGATAACGCTTGCACTGATTTGGTCGGATGTCAAACATGAAATCAAGCAGTATAGTGGGGCCTTCAAATTGTTCTCAGTTATATACTCTATACGTGCAATTACACGCTGACAGATATTTAAAGTTCAACAATACCTGCTATTAATTAAGAGGACACTGACATACACAACTATTCCGGTTCCAAACCATATCAGTGTATCGAGACTCTGAAACACAATGTCCAACACAGAGTTACGTTATATAAGTCTATTGGGAGTAAGCACAAAACGTGCGTCCGTGTTTTCATCCTATCAGTTTAGTGAGGCATATATTTTGGCATGTATAGTGAATCCGATAGTTTCAAAATAATAAATAATAATAATAATACACAACCTTTGATATATCGCCCTATCTAGCTAACATAAGCCACTCTAAAGCGCTTTACAGTACATAGATATACAATTAATACAATTTGCATATACATTAATTAATTCAAATTTTGAGGTATTTGCAGGAGCTGCCTTACCAGAAAAATTAAATATAGACATGTTATATGTGGAGTGTACCTAATCAACAGTAATAAGAGGTGTTTGATTATGATATATTTTAGTGAGTTTATTCTAAAGTACATTGTACGACGTTCCACTAGTAAATTTTACAGAATATTCTCAGTATATATTTCATACAGTTATTACACAGTATATTAATGTAGTATACGGAGTATAGAAAAATGTAAGTATAAACTGTACGTGGAGTTAGTGTATATATAAGTATTAAACATATCAGTAAAGGAAGTATACTGTACAGTATACATGTATAACTGAAATACGGAATGAATATTTCGGAAGCATATATAGAGTATGTTATACCAATTTTGTGTACAAATAGCAACTATTTATACATAACATGTACATTTTGTAAATCACCAATTTTATATTCAGGTAGTGTGTGAAACGTGTCTGCAGGTTGAATTCATATAGTGCTAATGAGTTACTACTGAGTATCTACAGCTAGTATGCAGCAGGCCAATGTTTCGCGAACGTTCCTTAAATTACTAGTGTGTCTGTTATTGAAGTAATGTTTTCCTGTGAAAACACTTACGTTGAGAAATTTCAAGTTAAAAATCATCCGTTAAGTTAGGGTTATCATATATGTAACTGGTATCCGTAGTAAAGAAAGCTAATAGGTTATGGATATCCTTAATTTACTCTGTTTACATAATCTTTCTTTATCCTTTCTTATATATCTTGTACATATATTCATCAGCTGTAGATATATCCATTTACTATCGTTTACATAACATGTCCGTATACTTCCTTTCCCCATATATATGTACATTGAATAAACAATGTCGACTTAACGTTTATATATACTAGGATACAGATATGTCTAGTTGTTAAGGAAAGATCATTTGTTAAAAACGCATGTACACTGCTAGCCCCGACTGCGCATATCACAAATGTACACCTGCTTACTTCCCAAGAAACATTTCCGTCTTAGTTCCGATAGAGCTTTAAATGAATCATTTTGAGCATTAATCTGTTTGATAATGTAGATATGACATTTTATCGTTCGATGTGGTAAGATTGCCGTTTCAGGATGTTATTCGTGACTTAACCTCACGGGCGGTACTGCCTAACCACGAACTGTTTTGTCTACGTTGTGTTTGTACAGCTTTTGTTACCTAGATACGGCAAAAGTGTTTAGGGGTTATAGTGCTGAATATATATTCCTAAAATCTCTCACTGAAAATTGTGCGAGCGAAAACATTTGTGAGTGTGGATAGTACAAGCTCTTATAAAGCAGAGTCTTTAGCAATCCTTCTACGTCGTTTAAACTGTCTTGAAAACCCCCCCATGTAAAATGCAGACCACTGCGACAAGGCAGGTTAAATAAATGTATTTTATTTAAACTATATTTTAGGATATCATAACGTAGAAAACATATCCGGCTGAGATTAATTAGATTAAATGTGCTGATAGTTATTGACAGATGTGTTCCGAAGGTGGGATTTAATATATTTTTAGGTCTGTAGCTATATACGTTTAGGTCTGGGTCTGTAGCTATATATGTTTAGGTCTGTAACTATGTATGTTGAGGTCTGGGTCTGTAGCTATATATGTTTAGGTCTGTAACTATATATGTTTACGTCTGGGTTTGTAGCTATATATGTTTAGATCTGTAGCTATATATGTTAAGGTCTTGGTATGTAGCTATATATGTTTAGGTAAGGGTCTGTAGCTATATATTTTTAGGTCTGTAGCTATATATGTTTAGGACTGGGTCTGTAGATATATATGTTTAGGTTTGTAGCTATATATTTTTAGGTCTGTAGGTATATATGTTTAGATCTGTAGCTATATATGTTAAGGTCTGGGAATGTAGCTATATATGTTTAGGTATGGGTCTGTAGCTATATATGTTTAGGTTTGTAGCTATATATGTTTAGGTATGGGTCTGTAGCTATATATGTTTAGGTCTGTAGCTATACATGTTTAGGTCTGGGTCTGTAGCTATATATGTTTAGATCTGTAGCTATATATGTTCCGAATGTCAAATAATGGTCCGGCTCCTGCCAACACGGGATACTCATCCCTCTACAAATATCCGTATACGTGGTAGTTTATTAGCAATTCAATACTTTTCATACTTCCTTGATATTTGCATTAAGTTCGTTTGAAAACAATATCAGATTTATATCTCGTTATGTTATATAATTACAAACCTAACACCATGTGACACCACACAATTGCCTGCTTCCTTAAAAATATTTCCGTGTTGTTTTATTGAGGCAACTTAACGAATCGTATTTACAGAACGCCGATCCGATAGCGAGGACATGGGCTGTTATAACTCGATCTGATACACTTAAGAAGCATTGCTATTTTGTGATATCATCTGACACTTTAATATATGTACACGTATATTAAACTTAGCTAAACTGTTCTGTCCTTCAATGTATTTGAATCAATGATTTTCCCTATAGATGATATGATCTCAACATAATGTTTTTTTCTTTTGTTCTGGTGCATTTTCCCGTCCTGCAGTCTCATCCAGCCCTTGTGTGTTGACGCTGTCCCGTTGCCCTCTAGTGCTCCTGTTACCGTATACCGTCTTATTCCATAATTGTATGTTGACGCTGTGAAATGTCCTCATTATTGTCCTTGTGTGTTGATCTTTAGTCACATGTTATGTTTTACAATTGATTCATTAATCAAATTACCTTTTTCTTGATGATATTTGGACTGAAATCGGACTGATTTCATACAACTTTGACGTCAATGAATGCGATAGATACGATGTAGTATTTTGCTGAGATTGTGCGATTCCATGAAAACAATGTATCAATATAGACATTGTGTGGCAATTTACTGAGACTGTGAGATGTAATGAGGATATNATCCGCACGACTTCCACTACATTATTAAAGGAAATCACACGTGCACAACAGGAAGTAACGCGGATGTGTTTTTGATGATTACTGTTTGTGTGGCCCCGGCCAATTTTAAACACAGAAATGTTATAAGGAACACCTGGGGATCCATAACAAAACACAACCAGGAAGTGCGACTTATATTTTTGATAGGTAAGCCTAAAGATGAAATTACTCAAATTAAAATCAACAACGAAAGTAAACAATTCAGTGACATTGTACAAGAAGACTTCGTTGACTCTTATAGAAATTTATCCCTGAAATCAGTAGCGATGTTAAAATGGACAATCTCATATTGCCATCGTGCACAATATGTTTTAAAAGTTGATGATGATATGTTTATAAATATTCCTTATCTAATTGGGGTGTTAAAACATAAACATATCACTAATTGTGTCATAGGAAATTTATTTCAAAGTTCTATACCTATTCGTGATCCAGCATCAAAGTGGCACACTCCATTAAGCATGTATAAGGAAGCACAATATCCCGCCTATCTAAGCGGAACTTCTTATGTTATTTCCGGTGATATCGTTTCTAAACTGTACAATGCATCACTGTCAATACCGTTTTTCTGGCTTGAAGATGTGTTTATCACTGGTTTGTGCAGAAGGAAAATTGGTGCCAAAGCAGTGGCAGACTATGGTTTTACATATACCCACAGATCACCAACGGGTTGTGATTATCGACACGTCATATCAGGCCACAAAAATACGCCGGAGGAAATCACAAAAATATGGCACGAACTACAGGATCCCAAATTGAAATGTTCAAACAAAATTTGAATATGTGAACACACAGATTTCTCTACAAATTAAGGATCGGGGAAATCCTTGAGTGAATATCGATGCATGAGCAAAAGCTTGAATGTTGTAGATACGTATGACAGCGTTGTTTTAATGACAAACCATCAAATTATATATGCTATACATGCAGATTTCCCGTTACTTTGTCAATATGATTGAGAATGAAAGTTATCCTAAATATGTGACACACGATAATGAACAAATATATATATATATATATATGTTGCAATAAACGAATAGTAGATACGCATTTTTATTGGTTTTAAGTCCTTTGACAGAGATATAAATAATTATGAAACAAGAGTCTCAACACTTTCATACAAGGATTTTAATATTATGTAAACGTCTTCTGTAAGATTATCTTCATACGTAGAGTGAAATATAGTCTATACATGATACTAAATGGAGGACCGTTTGCCAAGTTTGAACAATAAACGAAACATACTTGAATGAGTAGTTGCTTGAATAAAAATGCATGAAATGTGTGGAACAAATGTTATTTGATGGAAACAGTGTAACATGAAATATCTTAAAGACAGAGCTTACTGTGTAAGGTATGGTCTGTTACCCCTAGTAAGAATATTAACCTGCTGTTTGGTGCAATACAATATTTACAAAAATTGAATTCGACATTTACATTTTTTTTCGTGTTTAAACTTTAGCAAATATATTGCAGACAAACTCCTGTAGTAAAAAAGGACTTGACATATATTATAACCAATATATTGATGATTAGTGTGTTTCATGCATTGCCTTGCAGGAGAAACATTTCCTATAAAAAGGGGCATAGTCTGGTAATATCAGTAAATATACAATGCTTAACCTTAAATAAGCAGCGTTTGTCACACTTACAGATTTCTATACTGAAACAAACAAAAATATATATCAATATTGGGGAAAACAGATTTCCTACATCATTCAAGACATTACAAAAATCTATAAAGTTTATCCAATTTGAAAGGCAATATTTAACACCGGTTACATTCATCATGAAACATTAATTTTTCAGTACAGTTAACGTACTGTCATTGTGTGATTTTCACTTAAAAAATGAACATATTGGATGTTCCAACCTGTTTCTGTAAATATCTGCAATTATGATATTGTCCTTTTCAGTAACAACAAGTGAATTTTATTTATTATATAATGAAAATATATAGGCAGACAGCGTAATGTCTTCCTTTGACAGTTTTGTGATATTGATATCTAGTAACCATACAATTATAATAAAGTAGGATGGAATCGAAGTATTATTCATTGTTGAAGCATTTGTGCACATATGTCACAGTGATCATTTGTCTGGCCAGTTTTAGCCTGAACCAAACAGAGGCGTTTAATGAATTACAGAACGTCCGCATTTAGGATTGCAAAGCTTTTTGCATATTTGGTCATCACTTATGTGTGCTTACATTGCGGTGATCATTCAGAGTTTGTCCGAAATAGCTTATATCCTTTATTGCCTTTTCATAGGTTTTTGTTAACAAAATATAAGATGACTGTGATATTAAAGCAATCCTGATAAAACGTTTTCATTAAAAGCCATTCTAGGCAAATATATATCTAATAATGGGGCTTGACCCAAGGGTGCATCCATGATTGTGTTTGTTTCTTTATGCCATGTTAGCACACGTGTTTGGTTGTATGGTTGCAGGAATATCAAATACATTTATTTCAATGTTATAAACCTGTACTAATGCCTAAGGGGCTGGGCTGAACCCTGAAAGTACTTGTTGTAGACTAAGTGTATCCATTCCTATCTTCATGACTATCAATTACATAAATGGTTGGTTGTCTCTACCATTTCTATGCAAATGCAAATGGATTAGCATAACCAGCAGGCCATCATAAAAGCATGAGTGTATTCGTCCTTTAATGCCAAGCCAGCACAGATATGGTCAAAGAGTTGAGTCTCAACCGTTCCATGATTTGATCCAAACACTTCGTCCCCATGCCCATGCATCATAACTGTCTCTCCATAGTTATTTGGTGGGGAAATATAGGGGAAATTTACTAAAATTGCTATATTTTGCGGTAAGGGATCTGTGTAAGAGGATCAATCAAATCAGAACATTATTTAAGAATGAGTAGCTCAAGCAAAGGGACATAATTTCATAAATTTGGGAGCTAAGGTTCTCTGTTATATATTCTTGAATACTCATTTCCCCTAATGACCAATGTTACAGTAGCATTGTATGTACCAAGTATCATTGGAATTGGTGAGGTATGTGTTCTTTAATAGTGCAAACAATGCTTTTAAAGGGGTATAACTTCATCCATTTTTCATACTCTATTCACAACCCCTTCGTTATTATGTGTACCAAGTATGATTCAATTTGGTGCAGTGTTTTAGAAGGAGATACCAATTCATGTTCTTATTCATATTCATTTTGTCTACAGACAGATAGATGCATGGACAGACAACCCAGCCACATTATAACCCCTCCCCCATATTATACATTTAGTGTTCTTGTAGGAAAGCACAACTCACTAGGACCAAGCTCGAGTGAAACATTTATGGAAAAACAAAGTGTCATTCTTCCCCAATGCAAGAGCACTAAATAACTTTATTATATAAATACTAATATAGAACAATAACACAACAGTGAAGATGAATCTGACTACCGCACCATTGTTGTCTAGTTCATCAACTTGGAACTTAGATGTGGTACATGTACCTCTAGCTTATTTTTCTAGAAAAGACTCCGCATAAGAGAAATATGCCTGGAGAAACACTAGATTATATATAGATACTTATCCCTTGTTGCCTTCTGCTCTTTTCTAATCTTCTCCTGCCCCCTCCAGAAGTGTAGCCTCTTCCACTTGCACATTTTTTATCATCACCACATAAAGATGCCTCCATCCAAAAGAACACCGACAGGTCAGTAAGGGCCCCGCTGTGACTGACTATATATTCCCCATTTAAGAACAAAGCAAAAGCTACATGTACATTGGCCATCTTGGTCTTTGGGGAATAGGTCATGGGGTTATTCACATAGGTGATCTGTATTATTTGCCACAATGCCTTAAAAATTAAAAGTATGAACAAAATTGTGTTCATAGAACAGAAGATATAGCCAAATTTATTGATACAACCTGTGATTTCAAAGCTTTGAAACCTTAAAAGTATTATATAAAGTAAAACACTAAGAGAAATTCGTGTTTGTTTGGTATTTTATCTGAAAAATTAGCTGGTGTCCATTGTGTAGACACGGCCATAGCCTTTTACACGATGTTATTTTAGATAAGAATACATTACGATGAACATGTGTATATTTTCAAATGGACTTTAACTGTCATTTTACAATACCAGAAAGCTAATAATATTGCATTTTAGAAATTGGACAAAATGTACCCGAAGTGTTATTACCTATTATACATAATCTATAAAATCTACCTTTTTCCAAAGGGTCAACAGATAACCCTTGGGTAGTAAACTTTACAATTTAAATCTAAATTATGGACATTTCCTTCCATCAAGAGTACTAGTATTGGATTCTAGTAAATCTGAGTCTAAAGAAGACTTTTAAAATTTCAGCCAATATTCCAATGGGCCCTGCTACTCCGGACCAAGGAGTGAGTCAAGATCTTACTTTCTAATAGCATCAAATTGATATCTCATTATTATTTCAAGCAAATTTGAATTATTTCCTGTAGAGTCAAAATCAAAATACAAATGTATGCCTAAAAAACATAATTTCTCTATATAAACTACATTAAACTATATCCCCTCTAAAAGGAAGTCCTGATGACGATGGGGCAATTTTGATAAAACCCTTAGGGACCTTTCTGTCCACCTGAACACCTGAATATGAAGAAGATTTTTGAAATATTGGTCAATTTTCCCTTTGAAGCCCTGTATATCCTACCCCTCAGGGTAGCTGCGGAACCTAAATTTACAATTGGATACCCTCTTTCACAAAGAAAGATTCTTATAAAGTCTGAAAATAAAAGCATACCTTGTGAGACTTAAATAAAAACATTATAATAAAAGTTAAATAAAAAAATATATAATAAAAAGCAGTTTTCTAAGTGTAAAATTCTGCAGGGCTAGTCCAGGATTTCACTACAGTATCTGATTAAGCTGCATGGTCAATGGAACTGTCCTGGCCCAAATGTGCTAAAGTTATGTATCCAAAACAAAATTAAGGGGAGGCTAATGTATATATAAATATCAATACTTTAGCTACAGTTAAATATACCCAAAACGAAATGAAGGGGATGTTAATGTAAATATATATATTTTTTAAATAACTGTCCAAGATCCAAAGAAGATTTCAGTTACATCACCCAGTCTTAGAATTTAAATATAAACACCGTATGCAAACCATTATGATTGCCTATGGGTCTTCATCGTTAAGTTTGAACACTGAACCACTTTAATCAAATTACTCCTATGCTAGGAGGAGGCCATTCAACCGTGTGGAGTTTTTGTGGGGATTTTGGCCCCTCTATTTGTACAATTTTGAATTCCCACTTCCTCACAATGCTTCCAAGCAAATATGGATGCTATCCCATTATCTTTCTCATAGTTCTACTTTGTAGGTGTTCAGTGATCCATGATTCCTTGGTGGTAGTTACCCCAAAGTAATAAAAGAGTGAAAATAAGTACTTGAGTACCCGAAACTTGAATATATTGAATAGTTGTAGATTGTTATAAAAGATTAAATTATATTTCTCAAAACAGAAAGGGAATTACGGACAATACATCTAAGTAACTGTTGTGAAATATGCACCAGAACAGAAGCGGGTTGACAAATATACATAAATACCATAAGATATTTTCCAAACGAAGAAAATGAAACCAGAATTATGTGAAGCAATATACAAATTGGCTTTTAGTTGCATCAACCTTCCATATTGAGATTTTAACTTTTGTTACAGTCAAATCTGCACTTTCCGGTCTAAATAAATTGCAGAATTCATCATAACTAATCGTAATATTTAATTGTGTTTGAATGATCAAATAAATCTGTATAACTTTATGTAAACATGCAAAAACAATTGTGGATAAACTTGATGATGAAACTGTCGGTCAAATTTTAAAGACACATTTTGTTCAGTACCTCTTAGGAATCAAAGGAAATGATCTATTGTGTATTCAACGGATGTGGAAAAACCTCAATTACATCACAGGGGTTCGTTACAAATGTCTGAAATACACATATGCTATACTGATAGCGGGCACTCTGAGCAGTGCGAGCCGTTATGGCAACAAATGTACAGAAAGTACTGGAACATGAGAATGAATTGGTTCTTTGCTTTATATGAAGGCTTCACAAACTTCCGTTCTTCCAGTCGCACAGGCTTGCAAAAAAACGACAACATACGTTGCTCCGTGCTTGCATTGATGTTCAAAACAATTAGTTTGACATTTTCAATGAATATCTTTTTGTCGTATCCCCGGCAGATTTTTATGTTCAGAAACAATTCTACAATTGTTTACAAGTCGATGTTACTGATGAAATCCATCAATGTCCAACATATTATTTTGATATTTTCATTTTTCTCTAACTGAAAATTGTTTCCATGGAGTACTTGTGCTTGGTTATTTGTCCTTAGTTTCATAATATAACATCAGTTGCTACTGATAAGTCCGTTTATATATATCAGGCATACGTATTTTGCATTGACAAATGCCGAATCGACGTTCACAACTTATTGTGACGCGACTGGGACACCACTGTTAACACGCGTCATCATATAAGGATGAAAATACAGTCGCTGAAGCAAACTCGAATTTTCTGCAGCTATACTTTATAATTTATAATATTTTGATTACACAGTTCAGTGCACATTTTCTTTTATGTGTAACTACATTGTAGGCATGGACACAAAATGGATATCTTTGAGGAAGTGTACGTGTTTCATGCATTTATGTTACTTTTAAAAAGTTCTTCTGAAGTCATTTTAACACAAGTTCAAATACAAAGAAATTTTCTTTCTGAATTTTTCAACAAACACAAAGATATTTTTTTCTTCTAAATTTGGATCTCGGAATATTGTCATAGATACTATTTTCATCATTTGACATTGACTACTTTACATGTATGCCATACTGATATGGGTCACATCACATAGTGTATGTTTACTTGTGCTGTGACCCCTGTCAGTATAGCATTTGTGTATTTAATACATTTGAACGAACCCCTGTGACCCATGTCAGTATAGCATATGTGTATTTTAGACATTTGTAACGAACTCATGTGTCGACCCGGGCCCTGTGCTAAGTTTTGAGGTGGTGACAACAATATTCTGCTTTGACAAAACACATACCTAATATACATCGATGAATGGGGAATTTATTGATCCAAAGCCGACTAAATTATCACCAACAGCTGCTACATTTCGTCAGTAGAGTACTCGGTGCGTGATCTAAAGGTGTTCGCTAAGGCTATCCTATAATACATGTGTTACAAATATTTTCTAATGCGTTCTAAATTTGGTATGTATGTGTATTATGGTACTGCGAACTCAACTATGACATCCGTTTTCTAATTAGACAAAATGGTCGCCATATACTGTTTTCTGATTGGTCGAAATTGAGATATTGTTGGATTTTTGTGAAAATTGGTTTATATGGGTAATACGGGACTGCGAATTCAACCGCATTGGTTACGTTGCCATAGCAACAACATGGAGGTTCTGATTGTCGAAATTTAGATATTGTTTGATTTTGATGAAAATTGGTATATAGAGTTTTAGGGGACTGCGAATCTCAATCACAAAGGTTTCGTTGCCAAAACATCCACACACAGGGTTCAGACTGGTCGCAATTTAGATTTTTTTCGAATTTTCTAAAATTTTGTATAGACATTGTATTAATCATTAAGTGGTATCATAAAAATAGCAGATATTTGGGACGATGAAAGAAGGAATTTAAAGAATTTAAATACTAAATGTAAACCGATTGTAACAGAAAAAATAATAAGGGAACTCCATTGGAAATGTGTACATAAATCAATTTATACTGAATATAAACTCCATGTTATGAACAGATCCAACGGTATATGTACTATGTGTAATATTGAATTAGAAACATTGAGCCACCTATTTTTTCATTATAACTTTGTTACTCAAGTGGTACAACTCATACAGAATTCACCTGATTTCTAATTTAGATTTATTTTTAGGCCTATACTTTACAAAGACATGTCATGAATATACAATAAACAGTGCATTTCCATAGTATCTGAACCGTTTTCATTGTGAAACGGAAGAAATGTTCATCGTTTCAGAGGCGGCCAAGTGCAAAATATTCGTTTCAGATCACAATTATATGATACAGTGTAAAAAGAATCTGTCATTCGTTTCCCTTCATATTAGATTGATGACACTCGTTTTGGATTTTTCATATTTGTTCGCCAGAAGCTCGTGAAAATGAAAAATCCAAAATCTTGTATCATAAATCTAATATGAAGTGAAACAAATCCGCTATATACGGTTATCCCATTATTATAATTACAAGCACCTCAGAGTTCAGATAATTCATCAAAGCCATACGAGTAAATACCTAGAGCTATTCTCTTAAAGAGTGTCACAAGTTTCTCCTGAGATGTACAATGTACCCGTGTATACTGTGTACTAACACTCCTACAAATAAAAATGTAATTTTTACAATCAGTGACACAAATGAAGAGAACAATAAGCGGTATTATTGAACGATAGCAAAAGTCAAGTTTTTATAATTGCCGCCAACACACCATTACACAAAGTGTGTTTCTATCTGAATCATCTTGCACAATTTAAGCAAATTAAATATGAAATTGCAAAGTATTTAAAATTAATTATTTAATGAACACACATAAAACTGACAAAGTTTAACTGAATATTGCATACGGTTTTTACGTGACCGGTATTACAAAAAGTTCGTACATCTCTGCTAAGAGCTACATTATTGTACAACAAACTAGAAGCATTATCCAATGCCACCCACCAACTTCCGTCACAGCAAATAATCCGGGTCAATCCTCGAACAGAGTATAGTATATGTCAGAACATATGGTATCTAATCTACTTCTGTGATTTTGATTTCAGAACCAAAGTGAAATGATATGGTATGCTTATTTCTGATTGTGCACCTTTATATTCCATATATCGTGTAAGCGATGCCACATGAACCAGATTGCGTTCAGAAAAATATAAATGTATCAAGAAATAATCTTTAATTATGAAATTGTTTTCTATCTGTCTTTGGATAGTTTAATTTCTTCAAGCGTCATCGAAAGTGTCCAATGTACATTTTTGTTCTTAATTTAAAATCCTTTTGTTCTCGTGCATTCTCGTGCACGATAATTGAAGCAATATTTTCATATTACATACCATATGTGTCATTTTGCTAGGCTAGGTCATGTGATTTGTGACAAAGAGTTTCTTTCGAGATGTCAATTAGGCTTCTCCAAACGATGTCGTTGATTGTTTCAAACTCAACTGTTTTCCGTGTTTCCATAAGGAAGCGGTACTTGTTGTTTTTTCATCTCCTCTGTCGACATTATCTAAAATACAGAAATAATCATACCAAAAACAAGAAATACAACATTGCTTTTCGTTTTAAATTTGATCTTTACTTTAAGAGACGTTGGATTAACAACGTTTGGAAATGCCAAAATCATGACAACTTATTATATAATAAAAGCGATGCTGGGATAAGAAATGTATTGCACAAGGCTTGTATCACCGTGACAGGTAATATCAGCCTCAAGTGAAGTCTTGGATTATGCTAAATATTTAGGAATAATACTCAATATCACACATGTATGAGGTCAGCGGATGCATACTTGTTTCTATGATTAAGATTAACGGTATTAAACACCAACTAACGAATATTATGTAAGTTTACGAAACGAAGTTATAAACCAGCTATCATAAATATGAATATCATTATATTTCGTCGGGTGGGTCAATGGTTTGTAACGAAAAACCTTACGTAATTTAGATTCCACATGAAAATAAAGTAACACTTTTCTCAATAACGAAACAATGATACTATGCCATTAGTCCTAATATTTGAATTTAAATTTACTATTCATTCAGCATGAAGTAAAGGTTACCTTAGAGTAAAAGTAAAACTAGTATCTATAAAGATGTAAGTAGTATTCTAACATACAGTTGAAACATATAAGTTATTCATACGGAAATAAGTAGCAATCTAAATGTACATCTAATAATGCTACATTTTGTGTATCTAGTGGAGACAAGATAATATGCGGATACCAGAGTTATTTGAACTTTGTCCACACGACTTAATCTGTTTATCAAGTTTAAAGAAGATTTTATTTTATAATTGTTCGATTATTATATTACTATGGCTTTTCTTTATAGATAAAGTATCAGTAGAGGCAAAAGAATGTCACATACACATATCAACATTTCTTTATATTCACTGTGATAAGTTACAATAGAAACGTTGTTTTGATAAGTGTATGTTAGAAAGTATGCATGGCTTAATAGTATAATAATATTCAATCTAAAGAAAATATCTTGATATTCCTGACCTGGAATGAGTAAAACAGTGTGAGAATTCAGATAATCGATTCACGTCTTCGTTGACTTGCTCATAAATGGAAACACAGTAAAAGTGTTATGTGTTACACCACCAGAGAGGCATTAACTCTATTTTTATTCAAATACGTCATATATCACGGTTGAAAATGCAATAAAATTGTTTACGCTCTGCGCGTTAACATACCTGTATTTTCCTTTTCACGGCGTTTATTAGATTTGTTTTCCTGCCAAAACTTTGCCATGCGTGTAACTCTGTCTTTTGTCATCATATGCATAAACTGCTCTTCCCTTTGTTCCTCAGTCATTAATAGCAGAACGGCAGGAAGGAAGTTAGCACACACAAACACCATCGAGTTAATGTTTAACACAAAGCACATCACTATATCATATATCTCTACGTCACCAGTCAGCATCAGTACCAACGTACAAACAGCGATGAGCACTAGACTTATTGTAGAAGACCACATGACCTGATTAACCTCCGGTTCCTCTTTACTACGCAGTTTATACGAAAACGTGATAATGAAAACTTCTATTATCACGAACCAAAATGTCGTCATATACACAGAGTATATTTCCCTACAACGAGAAAGAAAAATTCTAAATATTTCAAAAACATAATTTATCTCTGAATCGCATAATTATATTTAGATTACGCTGTTTAATTATAGCATTTTGTACTATGTATTTCCGTAATGTTTTATCACTTAACTAACTTAGTTATGAGGATATTTTCTTTTGTATATCCGTTCAACACACGTGTCTTACTAAATGACAGCACAACGCCAATACAAAATATTCGAGTAAAAACATTAAAAGGATAAGAAAATAATAATTGAGGAGAAACGAAAAACAATCACGAAAACTGAAACAGTCTAAGGCAAATGTGGCAGCCATCATAAATATATATTTAGTAATGTAATTACAAGAGACAATTACATTATTGATAATGTAATAAAAAATAAAAAATCATATATGTGTTAAAAGGAATACATTATCAGTAATGTAATTAAAAGGAATAAATATATTATCAGTAATGTAATTAAAAGGAATAAATACATTATCAGTAATGTAATTAAAAGGATTAAATAAATTATCAGTTATGTAATTTAAGGGAATTAATACATTATTAATGACTACATGTATGTGCATGTAATGAAAAGGGTGAAATACATTATAAGTAATGTAATTAAAAGAGTAAACGTGTGTTTAAATACATATTATGAGCCTGGTGAAACTTTTAAGTATTTTCTAGTGTGTGCAGGCTACGGATGTTTCTATACATTAATTATGCACATGCAATATTACAATATTTATAATAGTATAGCGTAGATTGCGACGGGCTCGTCATTCGTTTCTGTAACGAAACTATGCTTTTGCGAGAAATATAGAAAAAGACGGGAAAGAAACATTAGTTTCTTGATTGATATCTGAAAACGAAAAAAAAGGATAATATGGAAAATGAATTGAAATATCAGCTTGTTCACAATCATACCAATTAAAATCCCGGGGTGAAGGTATCCGCCTTTGCGTATTGCAGAGTTATCTTCTCTTGTGGGCAGGTATTGATTGTTACGTCATTGGTTTGTGTGAGAAAATTACGTCGTTTTCTCAAAAATTGATGACGTTACTGTCACAAACCAATGACGTAACAATCAATACCTGCTCACAAGAGAAGATAACTCTGCAATACGCAAAGACGGAATTAAAAACAAACGAGACAACTAAATCAGTAAACAGCTTTTGTCAACAACAAGCGTGTGATCATCCTTCATGAAAGGTTCACTTCTAAAATCATTTCAGCCAATTCTTGGCCAACAAAATTTCTATTTATTCAAATATGCTAAAGCACGTTTTTGTAAAAAATAATTAAAAAAACTATTGAGAATTTAATGGATCATATACGGAGAGGAAAATGACCAGATACGTGTATGTTTACAGGGCATTACTAAGGAGACTGAATAATTAGGTAATATCTTCATATTTAATTCAACTATACGTGATGTGGATATCACTGTATAAGCCATACAATATAATAGATCTTTACATAAGGAGCTATAAGGAAATCTTTGTTTATGTGGCTTCAGATGAAATCTAATCAAACACATCTCCCGATGCATTCTATAGATTGGTAGTAGTTTGACATTCTTGTATTTTGAAACATAAATATAAAACTCCCAAATATTTTAGGGGTTTGAACTCAGGATCTTATAAGGTCTGTAACTGATAATCCTACAGTAAACCAATGTTGCTACCAACGACCTGTAAATGCACAGTATCAAAATAAATGATGATTAAATTTTCACGGAAAAGACTCTGTGCCTTAAAAAATACTATTTTAGAAATTCCTTGATCTTCATTATACAAGACAGAGTACTAATAGACCAAAACAAAGCTCCGAGATAGAACTTTTCTCCGCCATTATTGCTTGTAAGGTGATACACTTTATCATAATTAACTGTTTTCAATACATTTGTGACACAAAACTAAGACCAAGAGAAAAACAAAGATTGCACGTACTTATCAAAACTGCAACGCCAAGTGATGGTCACTTCGTCCACATTAGAAATTTCCCGTATGCCAGGAACAGTCGAACTGATATTGATGACGTCACTCTGCATCCACTTGAAGAACGCAATTATTGTGGGAACCAATAGCAACGGTATGTAAGTCAGAGCAAAATCCCATCGCGGTACACGGCTTTGTTGCAGGCCAAGATACGAACGTAAACATACTGTCTTGTTGATTTTCACGATCAGAGAAGCATTGCTTATGGCGTATGAAAGAGCTGAAAATTAATAAATTAGTTATATACATGTGAAAAAAAAGAAAATCATGATTCAAATCACAGTCAATAAAAATATATTAATATTACTCCAAAATCGGCTAGTTTGTGTCACAAATATTCAACTTATTAAAAAGATGTACAGTGATATATATTTATAATGACCTCTTATGGGAAAGAGTTAATAACGTAATCACAATAAGACTTACTAAGCAGATCATAATGAAAAAAACAAACATCTTTGGGGTATTTTAAAATGGTTGATATCGGCAAGTGGTTTTATAAATAAGTGGCATGTTTCACTATTTGGACGATTTATAGTGAATATATTTCTTATAAGCTAACCAAATATACTATAAATAATATTCGCCTTTTTCTGCAACAACAATAACATTATAAAATGAAATATATAGGCAGATATAGTTATGCTATTGCCATCAATCAACCGTATACTTATATTGACGTATGATCGAATCGAAGTATTATTCATTGTTGAAGCATTTGTCGACATGTCACAGTGATCATTTGTTTTCAGATGAAGCCTTATCAGGACAGCGGCGTTTACAGAACTATAGAATTCCGCATTAACGATTGTTCAGTTATTGCATCTGTCGTCATCACTTATGTGTGCTTACATAGCAGTGATCATCCAGTTTGTACGAAATTACTTTTTTCATTTAATGGTTTGCAATATTTTCTTGTTAACAAAAACAAAAAAGATCGCTTGGATATTCAAGCAATCATAACAAAACATTTTTATTAAAAGTCATTCAAGACAATAAAAAGTTTTGCTAAAAAATGTTGATGGACGGACAGACGGATGCCACTGTACAGCATCTTTAGCTCACAAGTCTGTCCTTTGGACTAGGTAGGCAACAATTGAAATGGAGAGTAGAGAGTTACTTTGTAAGAAATTAGACCGAAAACATTCACATTAAGAAGAAAGTATTTAACAATTATAAAATTGCATCTAGTTGTCGTCACCTGAAGTTGAAACATGCCACTGAACCAACAAGAGTATTTTTTAAGGTGTATGATATATTTGAAAAAAAATATGAAAGACTGTTAACTTTCAAAACCTCTATATAGACCTAGGTTTATGGCGCCTCATAGATAAAATCATTGTTTGAAAGATGACACAGATCAGTACACTTATATAATTCAACCGGCCTAAAATTGGCCTGAAAGAAATTTCGTGTGAAATTGACTTTAATTTAAATTTGACATGAAATTCATGTCTTTTTCAGGTAAATTGTACCTCAATAAATTTTGCCTGTGTATTCAAGTGGTGATGTTCTACTTTTGAGTTAATTTACACAATCGACTTCTTAAGGTACTTTAATAACAATATCCTTATTATAAGTCGACAAAACTTAGTCCTAGAATTTACATTTTGTAACTGTCCAGGCACGGATACGGAAATTGCTTTTCAGCTACGTATGTACAAATAAATATTTTGCTTGATCAAACAGCCGACATAAGCAATACCATCATAGTTTTGACATACAGTTAACCTTGTCGACTTTACGAACAACACTGTATCATAATATTACCACAAAATGACGTCATCAGATAATGACCGCACCCCTGTACCCTTTATCTACAGTTCAAGCAGGTGCAATGTAATCTCTATATAATATTGTTATTCATAAGTAACATTAATATATCTTTCCGACACTGGTACATCAGGTCACATATGTTGTAATTTCACTTATATGTTAACGTCATGCAAATCTCTGTCTAATATGTACAGGTGTCGTATCCACTCTATTTAATTTGGTTACGACAGTTGATCCCTTACATGTACCATGTCTGATATGGTCACACATATTAGTGTGTTGCCGTCAAGAGATGACCCACTAACACACATTAGGGAGAACAGATACAACTTGAGGGTAACAAACAAATCAAAATAGCCATCGTTCGTTTTTTTGATGATTTAACCTTTGCCCCCAAACGTCAATCACATGTAAGTTTTATGCGCTTGTGACAATGCATTGAAACGTCACCTGCATGATTTAATATTTCTGTATGCATCATATTTATCAGAGTTATTTCCCTCTAACCATATATTGTTAAAATTAATTCAAAGCATTGCCACTTTATACTATGAACCTTTCATCTTCGTTTGCCTGATGATGACTAAATATAAACAAAAATAACACGATCATCACATTTGACAAATGACAGCTGCTGCGTCATGGGATAACATCAGGGACTTTACTCGAATAAACAATTACACCTGCTAGCTCTAGGGCACCCCTCAAAGACATCACTCGAACAGCACAATAACAAAACAAAGCCTCTAGGTTTTAAGTCAAATACAAATAGTAGTAATAGAAGCATTTTCGGACAATAGATAAATAATAAAGATTAACGTACGTCAGTTTCATGACAACAAAGCATCATTTGTCGGGAATTTATGTGTTCATCAGAATACAAATAGAATATTGGTGTAATTTTCCAGGCTTGAAATTCATAGCCCTCTTTTCTTAGCAGTTGTTTTTGCATAAGTTGTTAGATAAAATGATCCATTGCAGTCTTGTTGTAAAAGGTAGGTTAATTTTGAAACACAGCCGAGTGCCTTTCCAATATTTTGAGGTTTTTGAATTCGGTTTAATACAATAATTATTAGGAGACTTTTATTAAGCCTTTAACGGGTAACCATTATTTTTGTTTTTAAATTGTTCTCTGTAAAATGATTTGTCGAAATATCATACACTCGTTAAGGAAATTGAGCAATCAATTGAGTTTGAGGAAATTCTTTAAGAAGATGTCAAACTGTAATACATTTCCCTTACCTGGAGCAGCGACCTGTAAAGTACACATCAGTTTGGTTTGTGAGAAGAGATGGCAGCAGCTAGATAACGTCATAATTGAACAGCCAATCAGAATTCCAGTATCAGCATCAGCACAGATGTTAAACACTTTATGTTTGTAAAACTTACATAGAAAGTAGGAGGCTATTGTAATAAACATAAATGAAATGAAGATCAGGAGAATATCTATAACACCAAGAGCAGTAAAAAACTTATGTTCCAGAATAGGGCCAGCTGATCGTAATGACGTCACTCGAGCGTCATACGCATTCACAAAATCGGGTTCCAAGCAGATCCGGCAGTCGCCAAGACAATCAGAGGCAGGCATGACACGTAACCCATTTCTATAGAAACTCAATTTCCTCATATCAAGTGTAAGCTTTCCGCTTTCAAAATTACCAACCTATAAAAAGAAACATTGCATAATATTTGTGTATGCCTACTATTATATTGCAGTATGAACCCGTTTTTCAAGTCAAATCAATTATCAAATAAACTTAAAAAAGCCATCAATAAAATATTAAAAGCATTGGCTTATATAGTTTATTGAGATAACCAATGGTTAAACGTATCTATTAAAATAAAATGGGAATACAAAATAGTATGCCGGGGTTTGAAGAGAAATGCATGTAGTTCTTCCTCAACATTTAAACAAATAAAATGGAGAGAAACACATTTTAAGTTGAGCAATTGCTTGATAATTAATAAGTAAAATGATCAGACTTACGTCTACTAGTCGGATTCCTCCGTCAGGACTCTTCTGAACATTTGTTACTATCAGAGCTGTGGAAGCGGTGTTTTTGTCCCGGAACTTAAACGGTGTACCTCCCGGTGACGTGAAGTTCACTGCACTGAGATACCGTTCTATGTTATTGTAAAATATAGCTCGGTCTCCTTTAATGCACTCGTACTTATCCGTTTTGCATTCTCTCAGTAGACCATGGAGTGCATGCCCCAAGGAGAAGACTGAATCCAAGATGCCGTTGATGGATGGACTTGGAATGACGTTACTTCTAGACAGACGTTCTGAATTCGAGCAATCTTTGGCATAGGTGTTAGATAACCGCAAATTGCAGGCGTTTGATTGCTGCCAAAAATTAGCAAACCAAGGATCATTTGCTTTGTCTTTAATGTTAAGGCTTAAAAAGTAGTTCATGAATTGGTCATTTATTTGAACAGCTTTGCGGGTCGAAAGCACGCCTGAAAAAAAGAGATGTTAGATATTTTAATAATACATGGCTAATAATAAGGTTTCTGTCTTTCTGAACCTCTTGATTATAAAGCAAAGTCCTTATGAATAGGCCTGCTGGTCATACTATTTGTTGTGTGAATACTTTGATGCAATGTTATGCAATAATGTCTGAATATTCTAATTCCCTATAACGGCAAACAACCTTTGGTTCTGCATGACATAAAGACAATAACACGAGCCAAGCAAGAAAGTTGAGCGAAACACAGACACAGGTAATTGCACCTTGAACATTTGGTAATCAAAACAGTGTGACAAAAATGAATAACCCTTCATCATACAGCAGTGTCATCCTACTAGGTCTCATCGGTGATGGTCAGGGTCAAAGTGTTAGATATCCAAATTGTCTAAACTGCTGTTAAAACAAAATGGCATGTGCGTAAAGCCCCTTTAATGACGCATTTAAAACTTTGGAAGAGTACTAGTTAATTTAAGATTACATAATCGGTGAGGAGTGTTTATCATTAACCGTAATATTTCAAACCATGTGTTCATTAGAAAAAGAACTGAATTCGAATCTATGTATAATGGTATATAATAACTTAAAGAATATTTTGAATCGTACCTATGTCTTGTTCTGATAGATAGCTCTCCAAGTCATACACTTCAAACGGGAGCACGAAGAATAGCCTTCCTAACAGATATAATACTCGTGCCACCGTTAGTACTTGCTTAGCGTTATTTGGTGGCATAACGAGAATAACTGCAGTAGCGCCCTCTACTTCCGTCATGTTGACCAGTATAGACCGCGTTACTTCAGACGAGGCTGATTTTTCCAATATATTTCGGCTTGCTATACATATTCCATTTGCTTTAAATATATCTCCCAGATATTTGACAACGCTTTCCATAAAAGGATCGTAAACTACATGGATGTAAGTCCATCGTAACTGCAAGCTTAGTTCCAGAATATAGTCCATTTCTGCAAATGGAGAGAGCACCGTTCTGAACAGACGTGGATGTGGTTGGCCGTCGCTTACATCAGCCCGCGACGATATTATCTGGAAAGAAAAAAAAATCGGTGATAATGATAAAGGGAAAACATTCCTGATCTTCCATGGTGTTTTCCATGGAGCTTGAATCCCAATCGAAAACTTAAGTTTTGTCGCATTATCATCTGATGCACTCCTATAGATTTGGAGAAATGGTCAGCTGTATCCCACCATATAATCGTACAAATACATCTTATGCTAAGGCCCAAGATCATTGAGGGAATTGTTCTTTGTTCCCTTCTTTTGGGCATCGAAATACTAGAATTTGCTGTTTGCATGCATTTATTATAATATCAGGGCCCTGCGCCCCCCTCCCCCCTCCGATCACAAAAGCCCAATCGCCAACTAACTAATGTGTGACAATGATTAATATTTACTTTGATGATAAGTTGTTAGGACTACCGTGTGGTCCTGCACGATTTGAATTAAGATCTGTATCATTTCATTTTGTTGACGGACTATTATTATCGTAGTGTGACGCTTTGAAGATAATGTGTTTGGTTTATGTTAAACTGATGACGGACAGCTAAGACTATCGTGTGGCGTGGTAAATTTTCACTATAATGCTATGCCATTAAGTCTAACGTATGAAACTGCATGAGCTTACTGTGTTGATGGGCTATTATAACCTACATGTACATAGTTCACATTATCAATACCACACGTATATATGAAATTGCCTTAATTATATATCTTTTATTGTTGATATTCTATTCTATAATTGTCTTTTCGGCAAACATCATTTATTGGTACCCTTATTAATATTCAATTTGCTTCCCAAAAACTTGAACCAAACAACAGTGATGGAAAGAAGACGTCAAGAACTGAATGATGACGTTTAGTTGCAAAATCATAAAATTCAACACCTGGTATCATCACAATGTCTGATTCACAATCGTATGTGTTGATAGGCCATACAAAATTATAGCGTTTCCATTTATGGTTTCATTGTGCTGATTGGCCAGATTTACTCTTATGATGGGTCGTTCAAACCTATGATAGTCCTAAATAACAATCCGTGTTACACATACTTACAACTGGTATTTCGACATCTACTTCACGCGTTGCCGTTTCAATAGAGATAGCCTCTCCTACGGCTTCGCCTCCGACGATCCCGAGAATGGTTGTATTTGGACGTAGTCTTTTTGTAGGCAGTACTAAGTTTGGTAACAGGACACTTTGTACGATATTTTTTGTCCTTGTGGCGACACCACAGGTGGGGAATACAGCTAAACCAAGCTTCACATTTGGTAGCAAAGTGGTGCTGTTGTTGATGACAGTTACACCCCAAACCATCGATTCCATTACTTGATACCCATTATTGTTTACTCGCCCGGAACACGTGTCATCGTTTTCGCGTTGAAAGAGCTTCACAAAGCCGTACAACATTGGATCACCGTCTATGTACACGTAGGGTTTACCGAAAATCTCAGGTGGGACGTGTGCACATGTATCAGAGCTGCAGTCTGATTTCCTTATATTTAACGACAAAATCGAAAGATCACTGGATACACTGAGCGAGCCGTCCTCAAAGGCACCAACCTGAATAAACAATAACACTATAAAATTAATTTGGATAGCTCTAAAGAATGTGTTTCTTATGCATACATTTTCAATGCCGATTGTCTTATCGTTGGAAAATTCAGGTGATGTTTGAAAATATAATAAAAATATTGTTTGCAAATCTAAGTAACAGTTTCAAGTAACATAGGGAAATATAGCTTAGCATCAATACACAACTATTCAGAATAAGCATATTGATAAAAAAAACCATTTGAGTCGACAGTTGAACTCATGTAGCTACCAAAATGTTAACACGACTTATTGACTTACATAAAAAAGAAACCTTTCGAGCAAGTATATAATATTCAAAAGATGAGATGTTGCATACAATGTGTAGATTGACATGTTTCAATTATTAGTCTTTTGTAAGAATTAGTTGTAATAAGTTGAAAATATAGCGAACAACTGGTTGGAAGAAATTAAACACGACTGTTGAAATAAAAACAAAAACGAAATGCTACATTACATTCTGGTATTCAATGCTAATTTGCTCTTCATCAAAGACAACCCGGTGGATTCCAAATGATGCTGGTCCATTTCCTTTGCTATCAAAACGGATATTCTTTCCAGTTGAACCCGAGAAGTGATATTGGAGTATATTGTTCCGAAGTCGACTTGCTAAATGGCTCTTTGCATCTGCACAGAAGTCTCCTAAAGGACATTTATTATGTATAATCTCATCCAAACCTGCAGCAAGTGCCTTTATGGAATCAATGATAAGGTAAGCATCGTTGTGACTAAACATGTCGGAATGTAACTTGTTACAAATATTGTCAGTCTCGTCTTTGTCAGTTTGGTTCTGGCACGTTGACATGAGATTCAAAAGCTCATCCATATAAACACCTTTGGTAGGGTTGTTGCTTTGCATTTGAGTAAGTTGTCGGTTGAACGATGGAACAGGATATGTTGCAATTCCTACCACGAACGCCCAGGGTAACAGTTTAGCAAATGGTAGTAAATCGTCGACGTGTAAAGTAGTGAACCACGAATTACCACCAATCCAAATAACGTTTTGAACATGTCGTCTCCTCATCGCTCTAAACAATGGCACTAATTCCCTAGCCTCGGCAAATGTCATCAATACGGTCGTTGAATTAATATTTCTTTCAATAAATGTTTCAACTAAGTAGTCCATATCTGAATCGTTTTGACCGACTTCCTCCGTTATTCGCACTATGTAGACGACTGATATATCAAAAGTGTTGGCTGCCTCCATTGCTTCAATAGCGCTTACGTCATTGGGATGTACATCGGTATGCAAAATCCCTATGTACTTGACTCCAAGGAGTTTAAGTATTTGAAACATCACGTTTATTTCCTCCCGTTGGTCTGGCACCATTCTCATAAAGTCAGGATATATTTCTTTGTTGCTGAATTCGGAGTCGGATGCTGTTGCGCTAATCGTTAGTAGACCTTTACTATGAAGATAACCTGCCAAAGGTGCGTATTCGTTATAACGAGTGAAGCCGACAGCTCCAAACATTTGGGACGCTACATGAAAATCAATTCCTTTCTCTGTATTTGCACTATACATCTGATCTATTTGAAATATCGTACGGTCGGCAAAGGAACAACTGTCGATCATGATGTAACCGAGGGAAAGACCGGGAAGAATTGCTGTGTTATTGTTGATGATATCAACTCCGTAAGAAACTGCTTCTGTAAAAACAACCTGGTCAGGGTTGAGGTCACCACATCCATTTGGTGTGTTTGCAGCTTCGTGAACTGGTAATACAGCAAGTAGATACACATCCGCACGTTGGGAGGCGTACACGTCCTCCATTATGTATTTTCGACATTCCCAGCGCCAAGGCTGACTTGTCGAAACAACACGACCACCAGTGGGCTTATCGTCTTTGTCGTAGAAAACAAAAGGCGATGCTATCTCGTTTTCATTTTCAGCAACAGTCATGGTCTACAAAGCAATGATTGACTTTATAATCAACAAAAAGACGTTGTATTACTATACCAATGATCTTTTTTAAACAAGTGGAACACAAGTCAAACATATTGATGTTGAAAGAATATTGATAAAGTATTTACACTCTTACTTTAAAAACTGTATTTAGGGAACAGATTATTTTGCATTGAGTCCGACAGTTATCATCGTTACATTACTGTTAGTTTTATTAGATGGTACAGTGTATTATTATTGCGTATTTTCTGTCATCAAGAAACATATGTGTGTTCGTGTGGTACCGTTTGTACATTTTTTATTTGTTAACGAAACGACAATTTATACTTCAATAGACAACTTGAATTTCGGAGATTTCGCATTTTTAACAAGAAAATCCATATTTTTGACAAGACATTATTAACAAAAAACACATCGAATCATTAGAAGATACAAACATTACGTACTTTGACCCAGGCCTTTGTATAGTTGTCCCCCTGGTAGCTGTAGACAGAAATATTCCTCATGTTGTCACGAAATACTCCCAGTAGAGACTGCCGAATACATATATAAGGGACATCGGTAGTGTTTCTCGCAATACAGTTTGTAATATCATGCTTTGCCAGGTCCAATCCATACAGCAGAAGCCGTAAAGCTGTCTCTAATGAAGGGACCTCCGATGTGCCGTTTCTCTCTAAACAAATATTCATATTCTGTTTTTTAAATAACGGTCACTCGATCGGGTTTGTCAAATCAGTTATCACATTGCCTATTGCAAATGTTTGTATATATTGCGGTGATTCGATAATCTTATGTAGATATAGTAATATGGCGATGATAATATTGCAATTAACATACCTGTGTAAATATAATTACAACATGCTATGTCTTGAGAGTATTACGCAATCGAAACTGCGATATGTTTCTGATGAAGAGAATAGTACATGTAGTCGCGTGGACAACGTAAACAAGTAAACTTCTGTGCAATACGTCACTACATGTGACGTATCACACAGTTTCAGTTCTCTGTTGTACAGTGTGTGTAAGTAGTGAATAAGCGGTATATATGTTGGTGTATATGGTGGAGTGTGACAAAGAGAGAGAGAGAGTAGGCATTTTATACGAATTAATTTTGTTAATTAGCTGTAATAAAACCAAAATTAATTGTATACAACAGTGTTTGTTATCCACAGTGACGTTTGGTTACAGAAAGTTATTTCTAGTATTACCTCAGATAATCATAAACGACGAATTACTCTAACCTGATCAAATATAATATATCCAACAAATCATCAAACTACACCTAAACATCCAAATGTGGGAGCACAAACCGAATTTCTCATAAACCAAAAGGTATTTGAGATATTGACAAAAGAGAATTTTACGACTGACGAATGGGCGAACAACGGAATGAACTGCGAGGGACAGTTTTCAGCATCGGCAAATACGTAATTTATTGAATTAAGATGTAGCAAAGGATTTGTACTTTGAAAAGAGTGGCAATTCAGAAAAGAACAGAGTAAGGGAGACAACATAGGTCGACCTTAACCAAGAAGAGGTGAAAACAAGATCGTGAAAAGAATAACATTCTTAGTCGGGTAAATAACATAACGTTATTTACTGTGTGTAAAAGGAAATGCTAAAGTGTTACTCATCGTATCAAATACCATGGTTTTGATTTTCTTAATGTAGACTAGTACACTCTACATTAAAACACCATTACAAAACAAGTGTCACTGCATGTATATATGGACAATTAATAGTTAAAAAGCGTAGTAAAGCAGGTATCCTATCGAAAGGCTTGCATATCTAAGAGTAATATTAAGATTTTGTTCCTAAACATTGGAGAGTATATTTGATTGTAAATGAGACGTTATGAAGCATTTATCACTACACTCGAGTAAATAGGCTAATAAAGCAGGTATCGCCTAAATAGACAACTATATTTTATAGTTAATACATGTCAGACAAACATGCAGGTAGATAGTACACTTTAAAGTAAATAAGAAGTTAAGGATAAGGTATTGCTATATATGGAGTTGTACACTTAGTAAATAGGACGTTATAAAGTAGGTATCGATACACGTAGATTAATATACTGTTAATTTCAAGTATTCTTTGATTTTTTTCGTTATAGTTGTTTTAGTATTTATTAATTCTTTTAAACATGAAAAGATAGAGGTTTATAACAACATTTATCTTTGATAAAGTAATCTATTTGAACTAACCAGATGCTGCTAGGTGTGTATGGTTCCATTCCCGGCTTATTGTAAGTGTACCTGTAAAAAATACAAACATAACCAGTCAATAATAACGCAAATAAGCAACGCATTGCATATACAATTAATGGTGTTTTTTCATACACTATAATACAAGTTATCAGTTCAGAAATAACTCGGGTTACACATTCAGTTGTTAATTCAAGAGCGCACCTTAGCAATACTGATGTTTGAAGAGAGACATCTTTATATGATAGAATCCAGTAATATGGGTACACATGTGTGAAGAGAGTATCATACACTCCAGTAATATTAGAACATATGTGTGAAGAAAGTATCATTCACTCCAGTTATATGGGTACACATGTGTGAAGAGAGTATCATTCAATCCAGTAACATGGGTACACATGTGTGAAGAGATCATCATACACTCCAGTAATATTAGTATACATGTGTGAAGAGAGTATCACACACTCAAGTTATACAGGTACACATGTGTGAAGAGAGTGTTATACACTCCCGTAATATGGGTACACATGTGTGAAGAGAGTGTAATACACTCCAGTAATATGGGTACACATGTGTGAAGAGAGTATCACACACTTCAGTTATACAGGTACACATGTGTGAAGAGAGTGTTATATACTCCAGTAGGATGGATACACATGTGGGAAGAAAGGATCATACACTCCAGTAATATGGGTAAACATGTGTGAAAAGAGTATCACACACTCCAGTTACACAGGTCCACATGTGTGAAGAGAGTGTTATACCCACCAGTAGGATGGGTACACATGTGTGAAGAGAGTGTTATATACTCCAGTTATATTAGAACGCATGTGTGAAGAGAATATCATACACTCCTGTAATATGGGCACACATGTGTGAAGAGAGTATCACACACTTCAGTTCTACAGGTACACATGTGTGAAGAGAGGGTTATACACTCCAGTAGGATGGGTACACATGTGTGAAAAGAGAATCATACACTCCAGTTATACAGGTACATATGTGTGAAGAGAGTGTTATACACTCCAGTAATATTAGAACACATGTGTGAAGAAAGTATCATACACTCCAGTAATATGGGTACACTTGTGTGGAGAGAGTATCACACACTCCAGTTATACGGGTACACATGTGTGAAGAGAGTGTTATACACTCCAGTAATATTAGAACACATGTGTGAAGAAAGTATCATACTCTCCAGTAATATGGGTACACTTGTGTGGAGAGAGTATCACACACCCCAGTTATACGGGTACACATGTGTGAAGAGGGTGTTATACACTCCAGTAATATTAGAACACATGTGTGAAGAAAGTATCATACTCTCCAGTAATATGGGTACACTTGTGTGAAAAGAGAATGATACACTCCAGTAATATTAGTACATATGTGTGAAGAGAGTGTTATACTCTCCAGTAATATTAGAACACATGTGTGAAGAAAGTATCATACTCTCCAGTAATATGGGTACACTTGTGTGGATAGAGTATCACACACTCCAGTTATACGGGTACACATGTGTGAAGAGAGTGTTATATACTCCAGTAGGATGGGTACACATGTGTGAAAAGAGAATCATACACTCCAGGTATACAGGTACATATGTGTGAAGAGAGTGTTATACTCTCCAGTAATATTAGAACACATGTGTGAAGAAAGTATCAAACACTCCAGTAATATGGGTACACTTGTGTGAAGAGAGTATCACACACTCCAGTTATACGGGTAAACATGTGTGAAGAGAGTGTTATACACTCCAGTAATATTAGTACATATGTGTGAAGAAAGTATCTTACACGCCAGAAATATGGGTAAACATGTGTCAAGAACGTATGATAAACTCAAGTAATATGGGTACACTTGTGTGAAAAGAATGTCATACACTCTATGGGTACACTTGTGTGAAAAGAATGTCATACACTCTATGGGTACACTTGTGTGAAAAGAATGTCATACACTCTATGGGTACACTTGTGTGAAAAGAGAATCATACACTCCAATAATATTAGTACATATGTGTGAAGAAAGTATCATACACGCCAGAAATATGGGTACACATGTGTGAAGAGAGTGTCATACACTCCAGTAATATTGGTACACATGTGTGAAGAAAGATATCTGTCTTATACTCCAGTAATATGGGTACACATGCGTGAAAAGAGTATCACACACTCCAGTTATACAGGTACACATGTGTGAAAAGAGTGTTATACACTCCAGTAGGATGGGTACACATGAGTGAAGAACGTATCATACACTCCAGTAATATGGGTATACTTGTGTGAAAAGAGAATCATACACTCCAATGATATTAGTACAGATGTGTGAAGAAAGTATCTTACACGCCAGAAATATGGGTACACATGTGTGAAAAGAGTATCACACACTCCAGTTACACAGGTGCACATGTGTGAAGAGCGTGTCATACACTCCAGTAATATTAGTTCAAATGTGTGACGAAAGTATCATACACTCCAGTAATACAGGTACACATGTGTGAAAAGAGTATCACACACTCCAGTTATACAGGTACACATGTGTGAAGAGAGTGTTATACACTCCAGTAATATGGGTAAACATGTGTGAAAAGAGTATCACAAACTCCAGTTATACAGGTACACATGTGTGAAGAGAGTGTTATACACTCCAGTAATATGGGTACACATGTGTGAAGAGAGTTTCACACACTCCAGTAATACAGGTACACATGTGTGAAGATAGTGTTATACAATCCAGTAATATGGGTACACATATGTGAAGAGAGTATCACAAACTACAGTTACACAGGTACACATGTGTGAAGAGAATGTTATACACTCCAGTAATATGGGTACACATGTGTGAAGAAAGTA